TAAGATCTAGATTTAGACTCTAACTTCTCTAAAATCAATTCCAAAAATAAATTTCTATATTAGGACTAAACTATTTCAAGACTTATTTATTTTATACAAAATCTTTGTTTGGAACTGGCTAATTTGGGATAAAAAATTAATTTGAAAGAATAGGCATATTCGCGTAAGTTAAGATTTTAAAATACGTGTTTCATTCTCCGTATTTTATAAGGTGCCTAAATAGCGGAGATGTTAGTGTACATTAAACCACGCAGGTGGTGCGGGTTCGAGACACAGCAAGTCAACTTGGTTAATGTATTCTTTTTTATTATGCTCGGGCTAAACTTAAAAAAAAAATTCTTTTAGGAATCTAGATCTAGATCTAGATTGTCGGGTGTCCGATAGGGCACTTCCCGGCGCCGCAGGCGCTTCAAATTTGGCATGATCTTGCCTTGGTGCGACAGAACACGGGGGCCGGTTGGCCGAAAAGTCTACGATGTGGGGGTCAAAACTGACCTCGACTGACCGGTACCTTATATGAGCTATAAATCGAAAAAAAATGTCCACGGAGGAACCTCTTCATAACTCTTGAGGTCGTAGACCGACCTTCGGGCGAATTAATTAAGCATTCAAATTCTCAATGTTTTCGAAAGCCTAAGCGAAGCTGGGCAGCATGCCTAGTTGTAAATAAAACATGTAATGTACTGGAAATTTTTTTCATAAAAAACGTTTTAATAACAAGCTTTTATGTAATAATGCACTAAAAAGTAGAAAATAAATTATAGACTACTAGAAAGAAAAGCGTGGGTCTCTTCCTAAACATTAGTAAAGGTATCCAATCGGTACTAAGTGACCCACGCTTTTCTTTATAGTTATTTAAATGGTAGTCTATAATTTATTTTCTACTTTTAGTGCATTATTACACAAAAGCTTGTTATTAAAACGTTTTTTTATGAAAATTTTTTTTAATGTTGGGAACAAAAGCCCACTGACTCATAATAGAAGCGAGACGTAAGCCCACTGACAGTTTTATGACTCTCAGCGTGACTAGTGCTATAAAGGGGTGATCTACGATTTGAGACTTATCTAGCTACAACACCTGGTTGCTGTTACCCAATATTGAAATCATCTTCTGTCGGGAATAGCTATATTCTGTTTGTGTATTTGAAATCAGTTATATTCTGTTTGTGTATTTGAAATCAGTTATATTCTGTTTGTGTATTTGAAATCAGTTATATTCTGATTATGATATGTGAAATCAGTTATAATATGATTGTGATGTTTAAAATCAATTATATTCTGTTTGTGTGTGATCAGTTGTATTATGTTTCTGTTAGCGTGATTGAAATAGAATGCCTATTAGCTTCTTTCAGTTGAAGTAAACAAACATTTTTCTAGATTTGTTTTTAACACACTGAGCATCTACATAAAGATATAAAGCTCAAAGAACACTTGTGTCTCTGTTGTGGACGGACTTTTGCAAAATTCGGTTACAAATTCGAGTTGATCGCCATTGTGTAATATTTTTAAAGTGTAAATGTTTGTACATTCATGTCTAACAAAATCGATATTGATTATTTTCAAAAAAATGTTTAGTTTTATAACTCAAAATTATAAATGACGTAATTAGAAAAGAACAAAAGACAAACTAAATTATAATTTTATATGAAAAATTATACAAAATACTTTGTAGCAATTACTTCCCTTTAATGTATTGTTTGCTAATTATTTTTATTAAAAATTGTTTAGAAGCCGTTTCTAAATGTACTAAATGTTTTTGTTTAGGTTTGCGATTATGTTTAAGACAACATTGTTTGCTTTTATTCTTTGCATTTAAGCTTGTGTTTATTTTTGCGTTTGCGTTTATGTTTGCGTTTAGATTTGTGTTTATGTTTGCATTTATGTTCGTATTTATGTTTGCGTTTGTATTAAGCTTTGTGTTTATATCTTTTCAAATGTCCATAATTACGTATAGACCTTTAATTGAAAATTAAATTTGACGATTTGGCACCCGGGCTTTCCAGAGAGCGATATGGCGCCCAGAGCTATCACGTGAGCGCTATGGCACCCTACAATATTGCCGCGATGGCACACGACATTCAATGTATAAACCGACTCAGGGGCGGCGCCCCTGTGGTATTAAATCCGGGGGCTCCCGAAACCACGTCCCTGACACCTGGGTGGTCGCCGAAGTATGTTCTACCTCAGTATTACGGAGAGTAATTAACGTACACTCAAGACTTTCATACAGCACGCCCTGGGCGTACAGGGGGGTAGTGTGGGCAGACCCGTGCCCCGTCAAATATAATTCAAGAAATACAGCGCAGGCATTACTTACATTTAAATAAGTCAATTTAAGAAAACACGTCGAAGAATATGGGATTGGTAACGTATTGATGAAACCTTAAAATTTTGAGTACTACTTTCTTCTGAGACCGCGGCATCGTGCGGGACGGGCACGCTAGTGATTTTTTAAAAACATCCTGTCACTTGAAGTTTAAAGTAAAAAAATAGTCTAAATATAGTTTTACTTTTTTTTAAATCTTCAAATGAATACAGTTAAAATCGTTTGAATGACACAGTGTTTTTTGTGATCTACAGAACTACTATATCTACCTGGACAAGTTAACCCGGTTGCCATGATGACGTCGTTGCTTCTAGTTTTGTTGACAGACGCCATGGTGTTCTGTGTTTCGATACTTGGACAAACACCGGTACGTTGTTTTAAAAGTTGGACCTAGTATTTATAGTAACGCTCTTTACATCACAGCGATTAATTAGAGTTGAGCTGATCTAAAGCTTAAAATTATATTCATATAATGTTTGTTTCTCAACACTTGATAACAGCCTTTTGCTTCATATACAGCACAATATAATTATATATATATATATATATTATATATATATATTATATATTTATATATATATATATATATATATATATATATATATATATATATATATATATATATATATATATATATATATATATATATATATATATATATATATATATATATATATATTATATATATATATATATATATATATATATATATATATATATATATATATATATATATATATATATATATATATATATATATATATATATATATATATATATATATATATATATATATTCCATTTAAACTTGTATTTGTATACGCATGTGAATGTGGAAATGATTCTACCTTTTTGGTGGATGTTGTATTTATTTATTTCGCGTATACAGAGTATAGAGAAAGTATTGTAATCGTGAAAAAAAATCGAGATTTTTTGCAAATCTGGACGTTTTACACCTCCTTGATTCGGAAAAACATAGTTTTGCAATCTTGTCTGTATGTATGTGTGTGTATGTGTGTATGCGTGTCTGTGAAACCGATAACATGAGTACCGTTAAAACTAGGTTGATGAAATTTCAGTATTATAACAAATTTTGTAGTTACAAATAAACTTTTCAGCGATTTCCGGTAGCCGGAAATAGAACTTTTTCTAATTTCAATTTTTCAAAAGCATATAACTCGAGTACTATTTAAGTAAGTGAAAGATCTAATTCTCTGTCTTTTCTCAAATTTTGAGTAATTTCCATTGACCGGAAGTAGTAATTTACGCTATTTCCGATTTCTCAAAAAAAGCATGTGAATGTAGAAAGTACTAATAATATTCCGCACTATTATACACATTTTATTTGGCGTTTACTTGGTGCGCAGTTTTTTCCTACAAAATTTTATTCTATTTTAAAAAGTGTGAGTAATAAAAAATGGATAAAAAAAATCAATCATGTCTATATCCCTTGTTGCCATCCCCCGTACTGTTATATTAGAATTTCGAGAAAATTTAGGGGGATTTCTCCCGGTTTAATTCTGTATATATTTGACTATTTTTTGCCGTGGTGTCACCCCATAAATGGTGACACCCAATGCAGTCCGCACATCGCCGCACCACACCCACTCACTACACCACTGTTTAAATATTTGTTAGGTTTCGGGTTATAGCTAGGATTGGGGATAGATTCAATGATAGAATTGTGATTGTGACTAGAGTTATAGCTAGGATTGGGTATAGATTCAATGATAGAATTGTGATTGTGACTAGAGTTAATGTTCGACACGCCCAATTAAACATTTAAATTTTTTTTTTTGAAGATGATTTTTTTCTCTCCCCGTGTCACTGAGTTGAAGGAAAGCATTAGTCACGTGACCAGGTTAAACACCACTGTAAGTACCTTCATCGTGCCGGCTATGTTGTATGTTAAGTACTTTCATTGTGCCGGCTATGTTGTATGTTAAGTACCTTCATCGTGCCGGCTATGTTGTATGTTAAGTACCTTCATTGTGCCGGCTATGTTGTATGTTAAGTACCTTCATTGTGCCGACTATGTTGTATGTTAAGTACCTTCATTGTGCCGGCTATGTTGTATGTTAAGTACTTTCATTGTGCCGGCTATGTTGTATGTTAAGTACCTTCATTGTGCCGGCTATGTTGTATGTGAAGTACCTTCATTGTGCCGGCTATGTTGTATGTTAAGTACCTTCATTGTGCCAGCTATGTTGTATGTTAAGTACCTTCATTGTGTCGGCTATGTTGTATGTTAAGTACCTTCATTGTGCCGGCTATGTTGTATGTTAAGTACCTTCATTGTGCCAGCTATGTTGTATGTTAAGTACCTTCATTGTGTCGGCTATGTTGTATGTTAAGTACCTTCATTGTGCCGGCTATGTTGTATGTTAAGTACCTTCATTGTGCCGGCTATGTTGTATGTTAAGTACCTTCATCGTGCCGGCTATGTTGTATGTCAGAGTTGAAGTTTACCTTCAAAAAATTAGTCAATTTTTAATCACCGTTAACAAATCCAGACATTTCTGCTTACATTGATTATTTGTTGATCTGTTGTTTATTGCAATGTTTATAACTGCCTTGTCCAATCGTTAACATTGTCTATGTTGGAATGTTAGTGCTTTGTACTTGGCCGTTCATCACACTTGTGATGAAGCTTAATAAAGCACAAAAATTATGACATGATTCCAAGACGTTTTGTTTGCCTCGATACAACATTAACTCATCGTTCTATCACCACATAATTGTATGTTACACTAATTAACTCCAGTACTGACTAATTGAAATTCTTGGACCTTTAAACTTTTAGGTCGTCGCACAAAATTTAGTCGAATTTAATTGTCATCTAAACTACACAATTCCACCGACAGCACCATTTCAATTTGACATCCAAGGTGTGTAACATTATTTTATTGTAACAATCAAGGTGTGTAACATTATTTTATTGTAACACAAAGGTATGTAACATTTTATTGTTACAATCAAGGTTTGTAACATTATTGTATTGTTACAATCAAGGTTTATAACATTATTGTATTGTTACAATCTAGGCATGTAACACTATTGTACTGTTACAATCAAGGCATGTAACACTATTGTATTGTTACAATCAAGGTTTGTAACATTATTGTATTGTTACAATCAAGGTTTATAACATTATTGTATTGTTACAATCAAGGCATGTAACACTATTGTATTGTTTCAATCTAGGCATGTAACACTATTGTATTGTTACAATCAAGGTTTGTAACATTATTGTATTGTTACAATCAAGGTTTATAACATTATTGTATTGTTACAATCAAGGCATGTAACACTATTGTATTGTTACAATCAAGGCATGTAACACTATTGTATTGTTACAATCAAGGTTTGTAACATTATTGTATTGTTACAATCAAGGTTTATAACATTATTGTATTGTTACAATCTAGGCATGTAACACTATTGTACTGTTACAATCAAGGCATGTAACACTATTGTACTGTTACAATCTAGGCATGTAACACTATTGTATTGTTACAATCTAGGCATGTAACACTATTGTACTGTTACAATCAAGGCATGTAACACTATTGTACTGTTACAATCAAGGTTTATAACACTATTGTATTGTTACAATCTAGGTTTGTAACATTATTGTATTGTTACAATCTAGGCACGTAACACTATTGTATTGTTACAATCTAGGCACGTAACACTATTGTATTGTTACAATCAAGGTTTGTAATATTATTTTATTGTAACTCGATGCAAACAGTTGTGTTACAAAGTGAAGGGGCTGTTGGGAAAGTAGCCCGAGGCGCCCAACATATTGCAGCCCCCACATTTTCTATTACAAACTGCAGTTCAGTTAAATGAACTACTGTCTTCAACCATCTCTCTCTAGGAAACACCGTGATATTTGAAGGCGGGCGGCTGTCAGCTCAAACTACACCCACCTATGAAATTGGGATCATCTGCTCAGCTCTAAACGAGTCATTTGTTGCTCACCCCAAGCTGACGGTCAACATTATCAACTTACCACCAACGTTTGTCCACACAGGCAAATACGGTACACACCTGTCTGTCTGTCTGTCTGTCTGTCTGTCTGTCTGTCTGTCTGTCTGTCTGTCTGTCTGTCTGTCTGTCTGTCTGTCTGTCTGTCTGTCTGTCTGTCTGTCTGTCTGTCTGTCTGTCTGTCTGTCTGTCTGTCTGTCTGTCTGTCTGTCTGTCTGTCTGTCTGTCTGTCTGTCTGTCTGTCTGTCTGTCTGTCTGTCTGTCTGTCTGTCTGTCTGTCTGTCTGTCTGTCTGTCTGTCTGTCTGTCTGTCTGTCTGTCTGTCTGTCTGTCTGTCTGTCTGTCTGTCTGTCTGTCTGTCTGTCTGTCTGTCTGTCTGTCTGTCTGTCTGTCTGTCTGTCTGTCTGTCTGTCTGTCTGTCTGTCTGTCTGTCTGTCTGTCTGTCTGTCTGTCTGTCTGTCTGTCTGTCTGTCTGTCTGTCTGTCTGTCTGTCTGTCTGTCTGTCTGTCTGTCTGTCTGTCTGTCTGTCTGTCTGTCTGTCTGTCTGTCTGTCTGTCTGTCTGTCTGTCTGTCTGTCTGTCTTAACCTGTATTAACCTACATTGAAGGCGTTGATACAGCACGTGAAGGGGCGTCAGGCTGGTAGTGTCAAAAAAATTGCACCACTATAAGATTCAGGGAGTATGACGCTGGCTTTGTTTAAAATTGAAAGAACTCTCTTATAATAAATAAAAACACACGTCTAAAAATACACCCAAGCGTAGAACCAGGTTACAGCAACGTGCGACGAGTACTCTAGTTTTGTATAAATATTTGGTTGTCATGTCTTGCTTTGTACTCCTAATCGTATAGGTTACTATTAGCCCCAATGTGTGGTCATTTGAAATGTTTCAGTCAACTTGACCTTAGACTCCAAACACCCGTACCCTGTGGGCTCTGGTGTATTCAATGCAACGGCCACTGATCCAGAACATGACCTACTGACCTACTCAATCATCTACAGAGAACCGATGCAGAATATATTCTCTATTGACAACAGTGAGTCGAACATAATGAAATGTGACAAAGACATTTGTCACAATTCTGCTACTGTTTGTGTTTTTTAAGGAAGCTTCAGCTTTACATAAACAATGTCTGGGTAGGAGGTGATCGCAGCTGGTATTTATTCTTAAGCGTGTTGCCGTGTCGGATATTTAAAAAAAAAAGACAGCTTGTGATGCAAACATATAAACTTTTGTTTTTATAATGAAAACAAACAATTAAGCGGTAAATTTGGTCCCCTAAAAATCGGGGGCTTCTGACTGCAGCCCATTTCAACCCCCCCCCCCCCCCCGCCCCCCATATTCCGCTACAGAGTAATAGCTTTGGTAGCCGGTCAGTGATTGTGAAGATACGATCATCTGCTGATTAAGGGGTGAGGGCTCAGAGGGCTATAGTCAGGGGCCCCCAAATTTTAGGGGTCCCCAAATTTCCTTTTCCAATTTTAGTAAATTTCACTACAAAGCGAAGTTGTTTGATTTTTACAATGCTTTAATACTTGAAATACATTTACTTTAAAAATTTTGTTTCAAAATATCGAACTCAAGTACACACTTTAGTATAAATAACAGCTGTCATCACCTCCTACCCAGAAATTGTTTACATAAAGCCGACGCTCCATAAAATAAATAGTCCGGAGAGCATTCACTTATGGCAATAAAATGGGTTAATTTTAGAGTTAAAAAACACACATTCTGACAAATGAGTTTACGATTGGCGCCTCTTTAAAAAAATGTACAGCAATTGAAAGTTATTCAGCCAGATAGTGTCTATATTGAGAATTAGCTCTCACTCGCAAGGATCCAGACATTATAGATTTAAATGCCTGACCATCTATGTTTACCAGCTACGAAGAAAGGTACGAAAGATGATTTACAGTTTTGTTATTGGAAGTGAGGTTTCCAGTGTTTCTTCCATACTTTTCTCTCTCGGGGGGGGGGGGGGGGGGGGCGGACGTTTGGGGAGGGGGTAGTAGACTAGTAGACTTTCCTCGAGGGGGGGGGGGGCTTAGATGCCTGGAAGAAACTCTGGAGGTTTTCAGTCCTTTTTTGAGGTATAGGATATATAGAACTTGTGATCTATCTATCTATCTATCTAATATACAAAGTTCAATTCTGTATGCTTGTTTGCAAAATGTTTGTCGTGGATTACAAAGGAATATAACAAAGAACCAAAAAATCGAAAATTTGATGGATTAATTAAAGTGCTCATGGTCTAAATTTATGAGTTAACAAATTAATACTTAAAGTGTTTGGAAATAATTTTCATTTTTCAAACCGATAGTAGTAATTGTCGGCATGTTCTTCAAACACAATTTTAAAAAAAATATATAATCTTTTACAACATTTTTAATTATGTCTGAAAATTATTTATATTTAGTCCTTTAGCACTTACTTCCCTTCGATAAATTAGGAAAACACAATTACTTCCCTTTATAAAACATTGCATTAGTGGAAAATAATTTTCTTTTTATTATTCTTTGTTTTGGTGTTGTGAAAAAATAATCACATAATTAGCGGGGATTGATCAAGTGCAAATGTTGTAGGTATTTTTAATACTGCCTTTTATTTAATCTATACATTGAACTTACTTTTTACTAATTATTTTTTAAAATCAATAACAGTTAATAAGCCAGGTCCTACATGTCCTATATGTTTATATCTTTCCGTTTACGGATAAGCTTGGAGTATTATAATTGTCTTCTGGCGCCAAGACAGGGTGCTACTTGGGGCCCCGGGCCTCCCTTGTTCGGTTTGGCGCCTACGTTCGTTTAAGTGAGTGCAAAAGACTATGAATAATGGCTTTCTTTGATGAATAGTGACGTCACAAGTTTTGTTTATTTTTTGTACAATAACATGGCGGCTTCGATCATAGACTTTGTGGCCCATTCAAAAGTTTAACGCGTTCTAAAGCTAATTTTCTGTCGGCCATAACTTTAGCAATACGTCCGTTTGCTGTTTTTATTACGTTACAACACTTATATCAATTTTCAACTGTCTTTTTCATTTAGTTTTACAATAAATTTCTCTAGCTCTACAATCTGCCCAAGAAAGTTATTTTATAGATCTAAAAATATCAGGTGGCCAAGCAAGTTATTTATAGATCTAGATCTAGAATCTAGGTCAAACCAAAGATTAATTAGATACATACCAAAGATTAATTAGATAAAAATACAATTATTTTATAATCATAATACATTTTTTATTCCTTAAATAAATGATATAAATCATTGTGATTTATCTATCTAGATCTAGATCTATTTAGCTAGAATAGGTCTAATGATTAGATCTAGATTCTAGATCTAGATCTAGCAAGAGTTACGCTAAAACTAAACTTAAGACTTAAGCAAACGAGTCGTAGAATCTAGATCTAGATAATTTCAAACCTTCATTATTTTAAATAAATCTTTGTTTGGCTAATTTAAGATAAAATTTAATTTGAAAGTTACTACTACTAGACTTAGATCTAGATCTATGTGCGTAAATCAAGTTGCATAAGGAGACTCAAAGTATCCTAATATATAATGGTCCACGTGCGCACTTCTCTCTCTCTCTCTCTCTCTCTCTCTCTCTCTCTCTGTCTGTCCGCAAAATATTTTCGCCGGACATCACATCAGAAACTGCAGCGATATATGAAGAACTTTTATACGGACTTTTGTTGAAAACAATATGTTCGGTGTTTTAAATGTATAACCACAATTTTATTTAAAGAAGAAAAATAAAAATAAAGGCGTATTCGCATGTAGAAAAACAATTTTAATTATGCAACCGTAAAAGTGTTTAAACTTGGGACAAGAACGCATTTAACAATGACGTCGCTTATTGTTTACACTAAAAAAAGAGCACGAAACTGATGACGTCATCTTCCTAGTTTAGAATAAAAAGATATGAACGATTTCATTCCAATATGATTTAGAGCTATGTACGCTATGAAATGTATACAATACGATTTTCTCGGCCTAAACTTAAAAAAATTATTTTATCTATTTGGATTCTAGATCTATAGATTCTAGATGTAGATATTCTCGATCATCCAGATCTAGAGATTCTAGATTATCTAGATCTAGAGATTCTAGATCTAGATCTAGATGATCTAGATCTACGGAAAAACTAGACTTACACAGATGTAGACCCTACCTAGATTTAGAATCTATTCAAGTAATACATTTCTATACTAAAGTATTTCAGGCCTTAATTACTTTATTGAAATCTTTGTTTATCTATGCAATTTGATAATCTCTATAACATTTAAAGCTAAGTTGTCGGTGCCCGATAGGGCACTTCCCGGCGCCGCAGGCGCTTGAAATTTGGCAGGATCTTGCCTTGGGGCGACAGAACACGGGGGCCGGTTGGCCGAAAAGTCTACGATGAGGGGGTCAAAACTGACCTCGACTGACCGGCGCCTTATATGAGCTAGAAATCGAAAAAAAATGTCCACGTAGGAACCACTTCATAACTCCTGAGGTCGTAGACCGACCCTCGGGCGAATTAATTAAGCATTCAAATTCTCAATGTTTTCGAAAGCCTAAGCGAATCTGGGCAGCATGCCTAGTTAAACTATAGTATAAAAAAACATGTGTGACGTCACGAGTTAAATAGCTAAGTTGTTAGTGTAATCGGCTTGCATGCGGGTGGCACGGGTTCTAGACCAATACGTCGATGATATTTTTTTTTTCAATTTTTATTTTATTTTTTTGATGTAAATGATAAAGTTGCTTATCTGAACTCGGCGGGATACACGGTAGTTGAAGTAGTGTTCATCTGTTTTTTTGTTCGAAGCATATGAAGGGATAGTGTGGTCAGAGACATGCTCGGCTGGAATCGTTTTTTTAAATGATAAAAACATGTTGTCTAAGACTTGGCGGGACACTGGGCAGGTAAAGTAGAGTTGAGTAGGTCACCTGTGACGTCAGTATATGAAGGGATAGTCCGAAATCGGTGTTTTCGGTGTTTTTAAAAGATAAAAAAACATATTTTTGAATGTGGGGGTCTGGTTTTTTGTGACGATAAGTGACAGACGTGATGTTTTTTATGGATGACCCCCGAAACCCACAGTTATCCAACAGATGACGGGTACGCTAGTTTTGGATTAAAACTCCCTACAATTTTTAGTTGCCCATTGCGGACTGGTGATCGTTGGAAATATTAGGTAGAGTTCACATATTTATTATATATATATATATATATATATATATATATATATATATATATATATATATATATATATATATATATATATATAATAAATATGTATTATTTGTATTATTATATTTTTGTGTGCGAATCGGTGCGTGAGTGTTATACCAGACATAGTCTATGGGGTTTCTCTTCCGGCCAAGCAGGTATTTAAGGCCGAATGACCGCTGGGATTATTCCTTTTTACCCTATAGCCTGAATGTGGATCTGGTCAGTTTCGATGTGGGCGTTTGGCGCACCACGTGTGGAGTGAGTTTGCATTTGCAACTTGGCTGGGTGTTTCGTTTTTTTGTATGTTTTGATGTTTTTTTTTTGTATGTTTTTTTTTTGTATGTTGTGTTTTGTATGTTGTGTTTTGTATGTTGTGTTTTGTATGTTGTGTTTTGTATGTATTGTTTTGTTTGTGTGGTTTTTTTGTTTTGTTTGATTTTTGTTGGTTTGACATGTGTGTTTGATGCGGATGTTTCACGGCCTTACGATTCCCTTTGGGGGATGAGGAAGTCTGTCTTCCATTCAGAGACCTAGACTATCCGAGGCATCGAAGGTTTGAAATATTGCATCGAAAAATGTGAAATGTGTGTGTTCTTGTGTTCTGTCCGATTGTTTGGTCATGTTTTCTTTCGTCTTTATTTGAATCAAGTTTTTTTTCACATTTGGTTCTTGGTTCCATTCTTTTTGTTAAATAAATTTGATAAACTGTTAGCTTTTTTGTTTTGTTTTATTTAGTATAAGACTAAGGTTAGGGTTTAACCAGTCTGAGTTTAGCCGGACTTGCACTGACCGAATAGTTTAATACATAGGCCTTGGAAGTTAGATATAGTTACCCCCCCCCCCTTTCAGGCTTATATATATATATATATATATATATATATATATATATATATATATATATATATATATATATATATATATATATATATATATATATATATATATATATATATATATATATATATATATATATATATATATATATATATATATATATATATATATATATATATATAATATGATAGGGGTAGGGAGTGAGATGTGTTAGGGATGTTCATCGTGACAGATGAAGTTTTTGAAGTGGGAGAGGTCTGGAGTTGTGTGATGGAGCAGTGACAGCATTACAATGGGGAAAACAAGTCGTCGCGTATTAAATATAATGCTAATACAAATTATTTCAAATCTACAGATGGAATGATGACTACTAAGTTTGACCTTCGAACTTTAGCTGAAAATTACTACAGAGTTGACGTGGAGGTCAAGGACAATCATAATAATAGAAATAATCTGACCATCGTCTTTACAATAGGTCAAGTATTTCAAGTGGACGGTTGGGGTTACAGGTTGGAGTTAGGGTTAGAGTTAATATTTGAATTAAGATGAGGTTAAGGCTTAGGGTAAGAGTTAAGATGAGTAAGGCTTAGGGTAGGAGTTGGAATAAGGTGTAGTGTACAGGTAAGATGTTATTCGATTTTCTCTGTCCCTAAAACGGGCGTTACTTGTAGCGTTCACATGGTGTAATTCATTTTGCTGTCCCTAAATCGGGCGTTAGCGTTCACATGGTGTAATTCATTTTGCTGTCCCTAAAACGGGCGTTACTTGTAGCGTTCACATGGTGTAATTCATGTTGCTGTCCCTTAAACGGGCGTTACTTGTAGCGTTCATATGGTGTAATTCATTTTGCTGTCCCTAAAACGGGCGTTACTTGTAGCGTTCATATGGTGTAATTCATTTTGCTGTCCCTAAAACGGGCGTTACTTGTAGCGTTCACATGGTGTAATTCATTTTGCTGTCCCTAAAACGGGCGTTACTTGTAGCGTTCACATGGTGTAATTCATTTTGCTGTCCCTAAAACGGGCGTTACTTGTAGCGGTCACATGATGTAATTCATTTTGCTGTCCCTAAAACGGGCGTTACTTGTAGCGTTCACATGGTGTAATTCATTTTGCTGTCGCATGCAGGTAACGAACGTGTATGTGTGTATACGTACGTGTATGTGTTTACATGTATGTGTGTGTGTACAATTACGTGTATTTGAATGTTTGATCTTCGTTCTAGTCTTAAATCTGAGGCCACAAATTACAAATCTACCGTCAGAATTTTTTATCCCAGAGAACACGATTGGAAGTAGATCTATTATCATCTTGAATGTTTATGACGAGTAAGTTTGTTTTAGGTATACATCTATACTTAACTTTGAGTATACTAAGTTAGATGTATGTCAGTATGTTGATAATTGTTAGTAAGTTTGTTTATTCTGTGTCATCAAGTTCGGTGGATGTCAAGGTGTTTATTGGATTTGTCAGCATCTTTGTTGAGTTGAAGTTTGTTGGACGTTTGTTATATTGTTGAAAATGTTTGTAAGCTTGTTGGATTTCTAACAGTTGGAGGTTTGTTGATTTTTTTGGTGACTAAATAACAATGTTTATATTTGCACTGATTGTGTAAATAGCGTTGTTTATGTTTGCAGTGATTGTGTAAATAGCGTTGTTTATGTTTGCAGTGATTGTGTAAATAGCGTTGTTTATGTTTGCAGTGATTGTGTAAATAGCGTTGTTTATGTTTGCAGGGATTGTGTAAATAGCGTTGTTTATGTTTGCAGTGATTGTGTAAATAGCGTTGTTTATGTTTGCAGTGATTGTGTAAATAGCGTTGTTTATGTTTGCACTGATTGTGTAAATAGCGTTGTTTATGTTTGCAGTGATTGTGTAAATAGCGTTGTTTATGTTTGCAGTGATTGTGTAAATAGCGTTGTTTATGTTAGCAGTGATTGTGTAAATAGCGTTGTTTATGTTTGCAGTGATTGTGTAAATAGCGTTGTTTATGTTTGCAGTGACAATGATCTTTTCTGTGATTGTAAAGTTGAGCCATCATCAGAATTTTCCAAATTTGAATTTAATGGCGCAGGTAAGCTAACTTGTTATGATTTAGCAGGTGATTTTACAAATGTTAATTAGGAACGTAAGTCTACACACATATATACCTTAGACATAAAGGCATATTTTGTAATTTAAAGCGTAAAAGCTTTCCAGGATCAGGTTGAAGGAATGTTTCTTTAGGATCTGGTTGATATCGTTTCTTTGGGATCTGGTTGATGTGGTTTCTTAGGGATCTGATTGAAGGAATGTTTCTTTATGATCTGGTTGGGAATGTTTCTTTAGGATATGGTTTTCTCTTGCAGCGCGAGAAGTAAAAGTTGTACAAGCCCTAGACTATGAGTCTGTCAGCATTTACACTATCACATGTCGACTATTTGACAAGTTTTTGTAAGTTCCATATTAAGGCATTTGGTTAAAGATTTTAAAATTTGTTAAATGTCTTGGCTTAGTCAATTTATTTCTTGTTTATTGTTGTTTACTATAAAGTTTATGTATTAACATGTATTTAACCCTAGTACACAGCAAATTGTCTTTCTGTTTCTTATAACTTATATAGCCTAGTGCACAAGAAAATATCTTTTACAGACACACACATACACACATACACACACACACGCACGAATGCACGCACACTTGCAGCACACACACACGCATGCATACACACGCTTACGAACGCACGCACGCACACATACTGCGCAAGCTGCTAAAACAATACAGCTCAAACAACACACATCCTTTATTTTTAAAAATAAAGCGGGAGTGATCTCACCTACACTTTCTCGAATATTCTTATATAACACTAAGGGGTAGACGACTCGCGGTATAGACATGCCTTTTAATCCATTTTTAATTGCTTAAACTTTTAAAAATAGAATAGAATCTCGTAGAAAAAAGAATTTACACCAAATGAACGGCAAACAATGTGTGTATAATAGTACGAAATATAATTAGTGCTTGATAAATTCATATGCGTTTTTTTTTTGAGAAATCGGAAATAACGTAAATTGCTACTTCTGGTCAACGGAATTTACTCAAAATTTTAAAGTAGGCAGACAATAAGATCTGTCACTTATATGTGAACTTTCGTTTATCTATCTGAAATAGTAGTCAAGTTATATGCTTTTGAAAAATTAAAAGTAGAATAAGTTCCACTTCCGGTAATCGGAAATCGCTGAAAAATTGATATGGATTTAAAATTTTGATATAATACTTATATATGAAATTTCATCAACCTAGCTGTAACGGTACTCAAATTATCGTTTTTACAGACACACAGACACACACATACACACACACAGACTTATGGACAAGACTGCAAAACTATGTTTTTTTCGACTCAGGAAGGTGTAAAACGTCGAGATCTGTGAAAATCTCGATTTCTTTTGCACGATTACAAGACTTTCTCTAAACTTGGTATACGAAAAAGTAAAAAGATTAGAATCTCGTATAAAAAGAATTTGCGTACTAATGTGTATGATAGTGCGGAAAATTGTACTTGATAAATTCAAATGCGTTTTTACTTTCTCATATACGAAGTATAGAGGAAGTATTGTAATCGTGCAAAAAAATAAAATAAACAGGGAGTGATTTCCCCTACTTTCTCGAATATTCTTATACTAGGCATACTGCCTAGGTTTTCAAAAACGTTTGAGATTTTAATGATTGATTATTTGGTAATTATGTAGGGTGCTTAAATTTAAACAGTCAGAAAAATATCAAGTCAGAGAAACTTTGGTGGAATATATTAGCATACTTATTAGTTGCAAGGTGAATAGAAGTGCAAAGGCTTCCTAAAACTTATTTCTCAAATATTATATTAAATTAACTTTTGCAATTAATTTTTACATTTAATTACGATAAACTACTTAATTTAATAACACAATACTTATTTAAACTAATGATATACTTTGATTTTCGTTTTTATTTAAAATTGTATACAAATTATTTAAAAATTATTACTTTAAAAATTTACCAGCCCTGTACATAGACCAAATGACGTGGTCATTGTTTTCTTTTTCACAAACAGTTGTTTATATAAGAAAATACGGCATCTGGACAAATCTAAGGGTTTTTTCCGACGGGAATAACGTTTTATTTTGTTACCCTCCAGGGTCGGTCTACGACCTCACAAAATATTAGGGGGACTGTTCGTCAATTTATTTATATCTATCTAATATAAGGAGAATTTCACTCGCGGTAATTTTTTAGCTCTCATCTGGACTTTGAGTCTGACCAACAGTTTTTCCATAGTCATCTATAGAGGTGCATGCAAAAATTAGCCAGATGTAAATAGGTTACAAACCCAAAAATCTGCGTTGAAATTACCTTCTGTTTTTCACATAAATTTCAAAGGTTATTTAGGGAAATACGACTGGTCAGTTTTGAACACTTTGCAGATTTTTCTCTGAAATTGCGAGTTTTTTCTAACATCCTTAGGTATTTTACTAACACCTCACAAAATATCAAGAAGGGTCGTTCGACAAAAGATTTTTTTTCGATATATAGCTCATTTAAAGAGAATTTCACTCGCGGCCGTTTTTTAGCTCTCGTCGAGAGCTTTGAGTCAGACAACATATTTTCCATACGACATCGCCAGTTACCTAGAAGCTGGCAAACAATTAGCTCAATGTACAGACGGTAAGTTCCCTAAAATCTATGTTGAAATTACCGTCTGTTTTTCTCATAAATAACAAAAATTATATAGGGAAATACGACTGGTCAGTTTTGACCACTTTACCGATTTTTCCCAGATATGGCCAGGTTTTTCTACGACCTCACAAAATATCAAGGGGTGTCTTTTGGCAAAGTGCTTTTCTCGGGAGTATTCTCATCTACTCCCCAAAGTTTCATGGCACTCGGATGAACGCACCCGACTATTACTTTATATAGGCCTATCGTATATAAATAAAAATCGCACCCTCCCGGGGCACGGCTCTTGCGAAATTAAAAAAGATATTTTGCAGAACCCCCCCCCCCCCCCCCCTTGTGTGTTTTAATCAACTCCAAAGTTTCGTGGAGAATGCTGTCAAACCGAATCTACTTTCACTTGTATATACCGTATATAGGAAGAATCAAAACTCGCTGCGATTTTTTTCCACAGAAACCGCCAAGGGTATATTATCAAAAACTTCACAAAGTTGCATGGTGATTGGATGCAAGGTGTAGTAATGCATAAAAGACGGACAGAACGAAAGACATACAGACAGATAAATATATATGGATATATGAGTAAATGGCTTGCTAAACCTTCACTTTGATTGCAGGTACTCCCAGCCTGGTATTTTAACTGTACGAGTCGTCAATGTCAACGAGCCGCCTTATTTCCTCTCACAAAATCACCTGTGTATTCTAAATGAGGGGCCGGTAAGTTGACCTTTAGGTTCAGGGGTCGCTAAGTTTCCCGTCCAATGAGCGCATAGTAAATTAGCTGTCACACTGTGCGGTCGAAAAGGTTTCAATCAGGATGAGGGTTCAGTAAGTTAGGGGTTAAGTCCGCTTAGATTCAAGTGGGACTAGCTTTTAAGGCGTGGTCTAACTTATAAAAAAAGTAGTCTAATCCTGTTGTTCAATTACTTATAGCTCACCTGACCACTCACGCGACCTCTGACCTGACCTCTGACCTGACCTCTGACCTGACCTCTGACCTTACCTCTGACCTGACCTCTGACCTGACCTCTGACCTGACCTCTGACCTGACCTCTGACCTGACCTCTGACCTGACCTCTGACCTGACATCTGACCTGACCTCTGACCTGACCTCTGACCTGACCTCTGACCTGACCTCTCACATGACCTCTCACCTGACCTCTGACCTGACCTCTGACCTGACCTTTCACCTGGCCTCTCACCTGGCCTCTCACCTGACTGTCTGTGATGACGCTAGCTCAGGGCACACGGTAGAAGCAGACTATAGCTTAGTTAAACAGACCAATGGATATACAGGAGCTGACCGGTCACGTGGGACGGTCAGCTGACCACTGAAGCGTGGGTCAGTAATGAGATCAGTAGCAGATAGAAATAGGTATCGGTAGAAAGAGAAGGTGATACGCAGCGATAGCAAACGGTCAGAGATATGTAGTGAGGTAGATAGTATGGTAGAGACGGTCAGAGATATGTAGAGCTAGGAAACAGATAGAAGTAGTAGAGTAGATAGTATAAAGTATAGACTAGTAAGGCAGGAAGTTGATTGTGTCAATTTTAATAAAGAACACTAGATCTATATTTTGACTTGGACTGAGAGTTGGATTTTCTCTTCATCTTCATTCAACCCCACCCTCACATTTTGTGGTGCTGCTTTTCCCCACCCTCACACTGACCTTTCCCCTGACCTCGCTCATGACCTCTCACCTGAAAACTCACCTGACCTTTCAGGCGGGCATGTCATGTGATCCAGGTGTTGTGCTGAGAGACCCAGAGGGCGATGCCGTAACATCTGCCACGTTTACAGCAAACAATAACTACCTCAGGTAAATTTAACATCTGCCACGTTTACAGCAAACAATAACTACCTCAGGTAAATTTAACATCTGCCACGTTTACATCAAACAACAACTATCTCAGGTAAATTTAACATCTGCCGCGTTTACAGCAAACAACAACTACTTCAGGTAAATTTAACATCTGCCGCGTTTACATCAAACAACAACTATCTCAGGTAAATTTAACATCTGCCGCGTTTACATCAAACAACAACTATCTCAGGTAAATTTAACATCTGCCACGTTTACAGCAAACAATAACTACCTCAGGTAAATTTAACATCTGCCGCGTTTACATCAAACAACAACTATCTCAGGTAAATTTAACATCTGCCGCGTTTACATCAAACAACAACTATCTCAGGTAAATTTAACATCTGCCACGTTTACAGCAAACAACAACTACCTCAGGTAAATTTAACAACTGCCGCGTTTACATTAAACAACAACTACCTCAGGTAAATTTAACATCTGCCACGTTTACATCAAACAACAACTATCTCAGGTAAATTTAACATCTGCCACGTTTACATCAAACAACAACTACCTCAGGTAAATTTAACATCTGCCACGTTTACATCAAACAACAACTACCTCAGGTAAATTTAACATCTGCCACGTTTACAGCAAACAACAACTACCTCAGGTAAATTTAACATCTGCCACGTTTACATCAAACAACAACTATCTCAGGTAAATTTAACATCTGCCACGTTTACATCAAACGACAACTACCTCAGGTAAATTTAACATCTGCCACGTTTACATCAAACAACAACTACCTCAGGTAAATTTAACATCTACCGCGTTTACATCAAACAACAACTACCTCAGGTAAATTTAACATCTGCCACGTTTACATCAAACAACAACTACCTCAGGTAAATTTAACATCTGCCGCGGTTAGATCAAACAACAACTACCTCAGGTAAATTTTCAGTCTAGTATTCTTCTACACTCACATCATGATACCCGCGGTGATAATAAGACTTCGATTCTCAACCAGATTTGACGTATCGACCAAAAGAATCGCATTCTCCCAGGACTATGATGTCGATACCATAACAGTAACTAGCTTTAGGTTACAGTTGATGGTCAGCGACGTACATGGAGCGGCCAGCAAACCCGTAGACGTCACAGTCATAATAAATGACGTCAATGACAACACGTGTAGACCGCCAGCCGTGAGTTTAAGGGGAGGGGGCGGAGGGGGATATATTTTGTGAATGGGGGGTGTTTTCCTAGGCTAAAGCCTAAGATTCAGGCACCCAACATTTTCCTAGGTTAGAGCCTAAGATTCAAGGCACCCAACATTTTCCTAGGTTAGAGCCTAAGATTCAGGCACCCAACATTTTCCTAGGTTAGAGCCTAAGATTCAAGGCACCCAACATTTTCCTAGGTTAGAGCCTAAGATTCAGGCACCCAACATTTTCCTAGGCTAGAGCCTAAGATTCAGGCACCCAACATTTTCCTAGGTTAGAGCCTACTTTATAAGCCAACACCAACGGTCTGAAACACTAGGCACCCAACATTTTCCTAGGTTAGAGCCTACTTTATCAGCCAACAGCAACGGCCCGAAACTCTAGGGACCCTACCCAACACGGACAGCGACCTGACATCACCAAATAAAGACGTCATCTACAGTGACGTCATCGGGGAACCTTACGAGTCTTTACGTTATTTCACAGTCACGAGACACGGAGCTATTGTATACAAAGGTAAGTCTTACACCATGACTTACAATAGTAGTTGTTTTATAACGCCAGTCTCTCCACCCAGCTCCACCCAACTCCACCCAGCCCACCCTACTCCACCCAGCTCCACCCAACTCCACCCAGCCCCACCCTACTCCACCCAGCCCCACCCTACTCCACCCAGCTCCACCCTACTCCACCCAGCCCCACCCTACTCCACCCAGCCCCACCCTACTCCACCCAGCCCCCCCCCCCCCCCCCAGATCTGCTTTATCCAGCAGCAACAAGCTACACAAAAATGGAACCAATTTTTCTGGTTGAAAGCCTAAGTGTAACAATACATCATGTACAAATCTCTTACTAATATAACGCTTTGATCCCAGAACAACTCCCAGAGACCAGTGACGGCAAGAGCTATATCCTAGCCTTCAAATGTAAAGATGGCGGGTCCCCTCAGAGAACTGCTGACGTGACAATTGTCTTTCATTACATGTTGGAGCCGACAACTACCACACCAACGACCACCACCACGACCACCACCACTACACAAAGCACGACCAAGGCTGTGGCCAAGAAGAACGTCTTTGACGACTCTGGTTTTGTGGTGGTTTTTGTCATTTTGATCTCCATCCTGGGCGTGGCTCTACTGGTGGGGATTTATTTCCTGTTACGTCACTGGGGTGTGTGTACCGGAAGTTCTGCTCTAGCCAATCGTAAAACACAGGATAGCAACGTATATGCAAGTGCAAGGTAAACCACGTTAATGAAGATTTACACCTAATTAGTTTATGATTAGTACATTCATAAAACCATTATAGTTTTGAACCTTTGCATAATAATTTACGTAATTTAACATTATAACTATCATTAGTAAATTAATCATCATTATCATTTCCTGTTTGTGCCCAAGAGAGTAGAGTTCATCTGCTTCAGACACCTCGGCATAATTAATTAATCAGAGGCGTAGCTAGGGGAGGGGGGGGGGCTACCCGGGCGCCAACCCTAGGGGGAGCCAAAAGGGGTTTTAAAAATGTAAAAGCTGATTTTATGCTGCAGTTTTGAATCATAAATAGTCTAAATTTTAATAAATGTAATGGCTTCAAGCTTTTACATACAGATGTGTTCTACATTGATTGTATAACTGTAAAACATAAGCCCTTAAGAAACAGTGACTGGCACAAACCGCTTTCCCTAGACGAGGAGGAGGGGGGGGGGCTTTTGGCCTACTAAAATCTGACAAATTTACACTAGATTGGTGAGTTGATAAACATTACCACTTATAGAGGAAACCAATTGTATTAAAGCGTATTGTACGATTGTGTAACCGTAAAAAGGGTAGTGAATTTTATCAGGATAGTGCGGGGCAGGGAGGGGTGGTGGGGGGGGGGGGGGTTAGTGTAAGTTAGTGTAAGTTGGTGTAGGTTAGTGTAAGTTTGTTTAATTTTAACGAATCTTTGATTTAGTTTTGTGTTTTGTTACCCATTTGTGTTTGTTTGTCTTATAAGTTGAGCGATGTTTGTCTTATATTGAGAGACGTATCAGTATGTTACCAACAGGGTCTAACCAATCTCCTCCCCCACTCCCAAAAATAAAAATCGACTGACATCGCTCTCCCTCCCCCACTCTCCCTCCCCACTCTCCATCTTCACTCTTCCTTCCCACTCCACCAATTTCAACTACCTCTCCCAGTCAGTGGCGGAACTAGAAAAAAAGGGCCACCCCGCAAAAAATAAATTCTGCCCCCCCCTATATATATCTATATATATATATATATATATATATATATATATATATATATATATATATATATATATATATATATATATATATATACATAATACAAACATTAGATACTCATTTCTAGCCTGATCGAGTTTTTAAATATTTTTTTTCAATTTAATCAAATTATAGCATGTCATGTGTGTGAGTGCATTAGTCTGTATTATTTTTTATTTTTTTTAAATATTTAGAATTAGTCTATTCAAAATGATTGCTGTAATACTGTCTACCCGCTAGTTCTTAGCCGGTCAAAAGATTATAAAACGTGAAAGCTTTGTATGTGTAATGGTTTCTCGTGTTATGTTTATTTTTATTTTTTTTTGTATTTATATTATTTGTTTCAAAGATATTTCCTTTTTATGATATGTCATTCTTTAGTATGCATTTCTTAAAAAAATAATAATTAAGAGAAGTTATTGCTTTTTAATTTGTTTAGTACAAATATATTAAAAGCAGCTTATGAGCGCCCCTATTTAACTATTTCAAAAGGGAAATAAGTCATGGAAGTGTTTTGAACGTTTGTCTATCTTTCTCACTACAGCTCAGGCATATATTTTTTTTACACAACAGCATGTGTTAGCTAATGTAGAACATCACCACTGTAGTAGATCTGTTTGTTATTTACAAAAGCTTGTACCGTCAAGTCAAAAATGCAAGAAAATTATTTTTTTAACTATAAAAAATATATTATGGTCGGCTATGGGCCACTAAACTAAATGGCGTGCCCCCCCCCCCCCCCCGCATTGCGGGGTCTGGCGGCACTGTAGTTCCGCCCCTGCTCCCAGTACGCTATGATCTTTGAAGAACAAATTATGATTAGTGAAAAACGAAACTGTTTTTTTTTTAAAATGTCGATTTGTGTTGTTTGTTTTCAGGGAAGTGCGAACAGTCCAACCATTGTAAGTGAAACTCTATAGTCAAATTGATAGATACATTAGACAAGATCTTTAAACTAATTGTAGGCATTATACATTTAACTATTTGTCTGACAGTTTTACAACTCTAAATTGTCTATTTGTCTGACAGTTTTACAACTCTAAATTGTGTATTTGTCTGACAGTTTTAACAAGACAACTCTAAATTGTGTATTTGTCTGACAGTTGTAACAAGGCAACTCTAAATTATGTATTTGTCTGACAGATTTACAACTCTAATTTGTGTATTTGTCTGACAGTTTTAACAAGACAACTCTAAATTGTGTATTTGTCTGACAGTTTTAACAAGACAACTCTAAATTGTGTATTTGTCTGACAGTTTTACAACTCTAAATTGTGTATTTGTCTGACAGTTTTAACAAGACAACTCTAAATTGTGTATTTGTCTGACAGTTGTAACAAGGCAACTCTAAATTATGTATTTGTCTGACAGATTTACAACTCTAAATTGTGTATTTGGCTGACAGTTTTAACAAGACAACTCTAAATTGTCTATTTGTCTGACAGTTTTAACAAGACAACTCTAAATTGTCTATTTGTCTGACAGTTTTAACAAGAAAACTCTAAATTGTCTATTTGTCTGACAGTTTTAACAAGACAACTCTAAATTGTTTATTTGTCTGACAGTTTTAACAAGACAACTCTAAATTGTCTATTTGTCTGACAGTTTTAACAAGACAACTCTAAATTGTTTATTTGTCTGACAGTTTTAACAAGAAAACTCTAAATTGTCTATTTGTCTGACAGTTTTAACAAGACAACTCTAAATTGTGTATTTGGCTGACAGTTTTAACAAGACAACTCTAAATTGTGTATTTGTCTGACAGTTTTAACAAGACAACTTTAAATTGTCTATTTGTCTGACAGTTTTACAACTCTAAATTGTGTATTTGTCTGACAGTTTTACAACTCTAAATTGTATATTTGTCTGACAGTTTTACAACTCTAAATTGTGTATTTGTCTGACCAGTTGTAACAAGGCAACTCTAAATTGTTTATATGTCTGACAGTTTTACAACTCTAAATTGTCTATTTGTCTGACAGTTTTACAACTCTAAATTGTCTATTTGTCTGACAGTTTTAACAAGACAACTCTAAATTGTGTATTTGTCTGACAGTTTTAACAAGACAACTCTAAATTGTCTGTTTGTCTGACAGTTTTTGCAAGGCAACTCTAAGTAGTGTATTTGTCTGACAGTTTTAACAAGACAACTCTAAATTGTCTATTTGTCTGACAGTTTTAACAAGACAACTCTAAATTGTTTATTTGTCTGACAGTTTTAACTAGGCAACTCTAAATTGTCTATTTGTCTGACAGTTTTAACAAGACATCTCTAAATTGTCTATTTGTCTGACAGTTTTAACAAGACAACTCTAAATTGTCTATTTGTCTGACAGTTTTAACAAGGCAATTCTAAATTGTCTATTTGTCTGACAGTTTTAACAAGACATCTCTAAATTGTCTATTTGTCTGACAGTTTTAACAAGACAACTCTAAATTGTGTATTTGTCTGACAGTTTTAACAAGACAACTCTAAATTGTCTGTTTGTCTGACAGTTTTTGCAAGGCAACTCTAAGTAGTGTATTTGTCTGACAGTTTTAACAAGACAACTCTAAATTGTCTATTTGTCTGACAGTTTTAACAAGACAACTCTAAATTGTCTATTTGTCTGACAGTTTTAACAAGGCAATTCTAAATTGTCTGTTTGTCTGACAGTTTTACAACTCTAAATTGTCTATTTGTCTGACAGTTTTACAACTCTAAATTGTCTATTTGTCTGACAGTTTTACAACTCTAAATTGTCCGTTTGTCTGACAGTTTTAATAAGACAACTCGGGTCAACCAGAACTTTAAGGACGACTATTGGAGGACAGGTGAGTAGAACTAGGTGTCATTAAATGACGCAATTATGTGACGTCGTTAACTGATGGCATTCACTGACGTCATTATGTGACATCGTTAACTGATGGCATTCACTGACGTCATTATGTGACGTCGTTAACTGATGGCATTCACTGATGATAATGGTTGATGTCATTGACTTTCTCTGATGTCATTCTTTGATACAGCTGTATAACACCATTCCATTCTCTCACCAGGTGACAACTTCGCCACTGGCATTGGTTACACCCAGTCACGTGATGTGGGCTCCAAGCATCTTGAACTCCCTGCATCCCACCCTCAGACAGATTTCTTTTAAAGTTTCTACACCAAGTCGTTCTTTTAGGATATTAAATGATTCTAGTGGGATATTTGATGATTCTAGTGGGATATTTGATAAGGAAACACGCGCAAAGAAAACCTGCATACAAAAAAGTGCGCACGGTTATATTTGTTTTCTTAAATGGAGCATTTATAGACGTTAACGAAGAATGAGTACATGTACATTGTAGCATAATAAAACGTGTCCACGAAACATGAAAAAAAATGTGTTTTAGTATAATTAGTTTGAATTTGCGCATTTTGCCCCGTCTAATCCTTGATGTAATCCATTCAGCCCAGTCTAATCCTTGATGTAATCCATCTAGCCCCATCTAATCCTTGATGTAATCCACCCAGCCCCATCATATCCTTGATGTAATCCATCCAGCCCATCTAATCTTTGATGTAATCCACCCAGCCCAGTCTAATCCTTGATGTAATCTACCCAGCCCAACCTAATCCTTGATGTAATCCATCCAGCCCAGTCTAATCCTTGATGTAATCCATCCAGCCCCATCTAATCCTTGATGTAATCCACCCAGCCCCATCATATCCTTGATGTAATCCATCCAGCCCATCTAATCCTTGATGTAATCCATCCAGCCCAGTCTAATCCTTGATGTAATCCATCCAGCCCAGTCTAATCCTTGATGTAATCTACCCAGCCCAACCTAATCCTTGATGTAATCCATCCAGCCCCATCTAATGTTTGATGTAATCCATCCAGCCTTATCTAATTCTTGATGTAATCCATCCAGCCCAGTCTAATCCTTGATGTAATCCATCCAGCCCCATCTAATCCTTGATGTAATCCACCCAGCCCCATCATATCCTTGATGTAATCCATCCAGCCCATCTAATCCTTGATGTAATCCATTCAGCCCCATCTAATCCTTGATGTAATCCATCCAGCCCATCTAATCCTTGATGTAATCCATCCAGCCCCATCTAATCCTTGATGTAATCCATCCAGCCCATCTAATCTTTGATGTAATCCATCCAGCCCCGTCTAATCCTTGATGTAATCCATCCAGCCCATCTAATTCTTGATGTAATCCATCCAGCCCAGTCTAATCCTTGATGTAATTAATCCAGCCCATCTAATCCTTGATGTAATCCATCCAGCCCATCTAATTCTTGATGTAATCCATCCAGCCCCATCTAATCTTTGATGTAATCCATCCAGCCCATCTAATCCTTGATGTAATCCATCCAGCCCCGTCTAATCCTTGATGTAATCCATCCAGCCCCATCTAATCCTTGATCTAATTTATCCAGCCCCATCTAATCCTTGATCTAATCCATCCAGCCCCGTTTAATCCAATCCCCTATACCCCAAGTTATAGTTCATCTTTTAATAAACTATGAACGTTGTGTGGGATGAGCAATTAAAAAAAATGGTTTTAATAGCGCAAAGCCGATTGTAACACACACACACACAAACACAGAAAGAGAGAGAGAGAGAGTGTGTGTGTGTGTGTGTGTGTGTGTGTTACACTTGGCTTTCTAATTATTTTTGGCTCGTTTGGGGTCAGGTGTAACACTAATAAAGAACACAATCCACAAAGTGATATTCCAACATTCTATATAATAGTTTCGCTGTCTGTCTGGCTATTTATCTATGTATCTATGTATTTATCTGTCTATCTATCTGACAAGAACGCTCTAGAGAAAACACAAGCAAATTAAAAACTTTCATAGTAAGACGGAAGTGAAACATGACGTCATATTCAGCATATAGTAGAAAAAAGTCGACAGCCGGGAGAGTGCACAAAATAATATGACGTCATTGATTATCGAGTAAACATTGAATTAAAAAGCCAATTTTGTCTAATCTAAGTGGTTTGCGTGAAGAGCTTCTTTCATACAATTCTTCGGCTAGGGGCGAAGCCCCAGCCTGGAGAAAGAACGTCTAAGCCGCCCCCCGCCCCCCCCCCCCCCCAACTAAAAAGAAATGTCGTCATCGATACTCTATAATAAAATTACAGCCTAATTAACGTGTCTAATCTAAAAAAAGGGTTTGCGTTCAGAGTTTCTTTCATGCTATTCTTCGGGTAGTGGCTAAGCGCGACACCAGTGTTTCTTTCAGACTTTTTCCTCTCCGGAGGGAGGAACTTTTTCTAATCTAAAAAGTGTTTAGCGTGCACAGTTTTTTTCATGCATCTCTTCCGGTAGGGGCGAAGCCCCGCCCAGGTTCTTCCTTTAGTTTGTAAATTCTACAAACGCGACCACTGTTTCTTTCAGACTTTTTCCTCCCCTAAGAGGGGTGGGGTACTTGAAATTTTCGAGGTCGGGGGTAGAATTTTCTGGGAGGGGGCGGACACTGGAAAAAGTATATAATTATATTTCGTTGAGTGGGACGGTAGACATGTTTTGGGGAGTGTGTGTGTGTGGGGGGTTAGTTTAGAGAAAATAGACAGCACTATCAACCTAGCGCCCGTTGTATCCTTCCTCAACGGGCCATTTTTCTCGTTAATACTAATAGTTTCGCTGTCTGTGTATCTGTCTATCTATCTGTCTGACAAGAACGCTGTAGAGAAAACACAAGCAAAATAAAAACATGCATAGTAATACGGAAACGAAATATGACGTCACATTTAGCATAGAGAAGAAAATAGTATCAAGCCGGAGAGTGCACACATTAATATGACGTCATTGATTCTCGAGTAAACATTGAATTTAAAAAGCCAATTTTGTCTAATCTAAGTGGTTTGCGTGGAGTTTCTTTCATACAATTCTTCGGGTAGGGGCGAAGCCCCACCCCCGCGTAAGAACATGTAAGCCCCCTCCCCCCTCCCCAACTCATAAGAAATTTCTTCATCGATACTCTATAATAAAATTACCACCTAATTAATGTGTCTAATCTAAAAAGTGGTTTGCGTGCAGTTTCATGCAGTTCTTCGGGTAGTGGCTAAGTGCGACACCAGTGTTTCTTTCAGACTTTTCCTCCCCGTAGGGAGGAATTTTTCTAATCTAAAAAAAATGTTTAGCGTGCAGTTTTTTTCATGCATCTTTTCCGGTAGGGGCGAAGCCCCGCCCAGGTTCTTCCTTTAGTTTGTATAATCTACAAATGCGACCAGTGTTTCTTTCAGACTTTTTCCTCCCCGGAGAGGGGTGGGGGTACTTTAAATTTTTGGGGGGGCGGGGGTAGAATTTTCGGGGAGGGGGCGGACACTGGAAAAAGTATATAATTATGTTTCGTTGAATGGGACGGTAGACATGTTTTGGAGTGTGTGTGTGTGTGTTGGGGGGGGGGGGGGTTGGTTTTACTTTAGAGAAAAGAGACAGCACTATCAACCTAGCGCCCGTTGTATCGTTCCTCAACGGGCCATTTTTCTCGTTGAAGTATCATTTACATCAACTACAAGAGAAACAGTGAACTTTGACACGAAGAAAAAACTGACGACATGCTCCGTTAAGTTGACGCTACATCACACACTGCTTACACACTACTGTTCACACACTTGTTTTTCACGCTCGCACCCCACTTTCAAGGGGAGGCCACTCTCACACACAATCTCTCCGTGCCTACACATTTTCGTTATGATCATCTAGGCTAAAACGCGAAATAACGTCTAAAATTCTATTTCTAACATTGGTTTTTTTATAATGCAAAAGTGTGACGTCGCACCTTCTGAACCCCCCTCCCCCTCATCACACACCGTCACAAAATTATGGACCCCCCACCTCCCCCCAAGGAGTGTGACGTCATTTATGGACGATCCCTTTTAAAATATGAAGAAATTATCTATTTATTTAAATTTGATATTTAGATCCATAGATCTACTTATCAAGACGTACGCTAAGAAATGTATACAAATTTTTAGGCCAAAAGTAATACAAATTACTTTTAAAAATAACATAAATACCATTGAACAGCCGGGTTTTTAATAGAGTAATGTAAGTCTCATAATCAGTGTATGCATTTAATATGATGTTGTGTTGACTAATAATGTGTATTATTTAGTTGTTCTAATAGGTATTGGTAGCCTATGTTATTTTAAATGTGTCGGACTTTTAGCTATTTACTAATATCGTTCAACATGTAGTAAGCACATTGCGTTTTGACCAATCACTATTTTACCACGTTTTTCTTAACTCAGCTTCGCGTTTGTTTATGGATTTGTTTGTTGTTAAAATTGACAACGAAAATTAGCCCACTTCTGATTGCTCTAGAGATCTGAAATTCGGCATGCAGGCTATTTTCGCCTAACAATTTCAGATGCAATCATAAAAACTAGCAATTAGAGACCTAAATTAGCTTAATTAAATTACGCCCCTTCTCTGTTTAAAGCGTATCGGTCGCTCAAGATTTGAAAATGGGCCTTTCATTAAAAAGTGTGACGCGCATTGTGAAGACCCCTTAGTGAAAAAAAAAATAAACAACGCCGTGAAACCGAGAAATTTGCGACAAATTACTAAAATATAATTGGCTACTTAGAAAGTTTGCGATATCATTGGGAAGGCGTTTATCTTATAAGACGCTATTAGAAATCAGTGAAGTTTAAGTTGCGAGTTTTAACTTCAAAACACACCCACATAGAAGAAAAAGTACTTTTGTCCTTGTTTACTGTTTTGATCACCCACCCACTCTGCCCAGCGTACCAACCGTGTCACCGTTAACAATGTGTTACCGTGTCCGTGTGTTTGTTGACAACCCCAGACCATCACGTGATTCGTGAGTAGATCTCCACGCCAGCTACGGTAGCTACACACCTGTATGTCCACTCCATTCGTGTTGACTGCGTTGAACTGAACAAATCGTTGTGTCATGAGGATTGGATATACCGATTTGCGATAGTAGACTTCTGAAAATAGTGATAGGTTTTTAGTATGCGGAACCATCAGCCCCAGAATAGAGCACAGCAAAATTAATCATTTTAGTTTCATTTCAGCCTCTTTTTTTTAAAATGTTTTACAGTGTAATGCTTAAGGTGGGTGGAGAATCGACAGTTAATCTGTTCGAGGAGGGATGGACGGTGGGCCAACTACCTAAAAGCATTCAAAAACCTTTTGATCCTTTTTATTTTGATAAAAAATCCTCTAAATGTTTATGTATTTAAAAACACTTAGTCAAGTCATACTTAATCAAGTCATTAGATAAAGTAGAAAATGAACTATATAAAAAACTTTTTAAAAACCACGTTTTTTATGTGTAGCAACGGACTAAAAAGGAGAAAATAAAATACTTAAAAAACTTTTTAAAAAAACACGTTTTTCTTGTGGACTAAAAAGTAGAAAATAAATTTTTCTTCCGACCCTAGGGGATCTACCAATGACTGCTCGTAGATTTTGTGCTTCCTCGAGCTGTGCAGGTTCTTGTGATGACTGTTCATATATTTGATGACAAAAAAACGTGGGTCGGGCAGATTTATGATTAAAGCGAAAAGCACACAACACACGAATTTTGGAAATTTGATGGTGAACGTACCCACGTTTTTTGTCATCAAATGTATGAACAGTCATCTCTACGAGCAGTCATTGGTAGATCCCCTAGGGTCGGAAGAAAAATTTATTTTCTACTTTTTAGTCCACAAGAAAAACGTGGTTTTTTAAAAAGTTTTTTTTAAGTATTTTATTATAAAATATTTTTAAACAAGTAGGCCTATAACATTAAAATATATAGGCCTATAATTCACGTGTAGTGTGTACCGACGGCTAGTACAATAGTAAACTACAAAACTTCATAAATAAATTTCCAGCTATAGTTCTAAGCTTTGGTAAACCAAAATAGTTTTAGAGATAAGACGATATAGTCTAAAGCTCTAACCTGACCTGCTTTGATGATTTTCAACTCTGATTATAAAAGTAAAGTTCTTTTTTAAACCTGACGGTCAATAGGGCGAGTGAAATAGAGTTCACCTGTTTCTGTAACCTCAACCAAAAACAGCCTCACGTGTCAGCTGAGTGGATCCAGGGACTTGAACCCGGACTTGGAACTTGTATGGAGCCGTCGTATGCTCTACAGTTCGACCACACCGTCCCATGAAGTGGGTCGTTGATAATTTCGTCTTCTGAAAACATCAAACGCTGCAATGACCTCTTATAATGACGTGTTACGCTAGAAAAACGAAGTGCTTACCCTCAATCAACCAGTGTCTAATGGTGTCAGCTCATTAGCTGCTGCAAGGTAAGTGGGGGTGAAGAGACTAGCACGCTGTCACCGTTTTTGACGCGGTAATTCACTCAAAAGAAGGCACTCAACAGACGGCACTCAACAGACGGCACTCAACAGACAATCAAACGTTCGATTGATTAAAAATTTTTTTTCACTTAACACTCAACAAAGAACATGACAGCCTGATTAGTAGACACTAAGGAACACACATTTGTAGTTAGGGGAACACACACAGGTGGTGCTAGGGGAACACACACAGGTGGTGCTAGGGGAACACACACAGGTGGTGCTAGGGGAACACACACAGGTGGTGCTAGGGGAACACACAGGTGGGGCTAGGGGAACACACAGGTGGTGCTAGGGGAACACGCACAGGTGGTGCTAGGGGAACACACAGGTGGGGCTAGGGGAACACACACAGGTGGGGCTAGGGGAACACACACAGGTGGTGCTAGGGGAACACACACAGGTGGTGCTAGGGGAATACACACAGGTGGGGCTAGGGGAACACAAAGAGGTGGGGCTAGGGGAACACGCACATTTGTAACTAGGGGAACACAAATAGGTGGGGCTAGGGGAACACACAGGTGGGGCTAGGGGAACACGCACATTTGTAACTAGGGGAACACAAATAGGTGGGGCTAGGGGAACACAAAGAGGTGGGGCTAGGGGAACACGCACATTTGTAACTAGGGGAACACAAATAGGTGGGGCTAGGGGAACACACAGGTGGGGCTAGGGGAACACGCACATTTGTAACTAGGGGAACACAAATAGGTGGGGCTAGGGGAACACAAAGAGGTGGGGCTAGGGGAACACGCACATTTGTAGTTAGGGGAACACGCACATTTGTAACTAGGGGAACACACGGGTGGTGTTAGGAGGAAAACGCAAAGGTGGTGCTAGAGGAACACAGGTGGTGCTAGAGGAACACAGGTGGTGCTAGGGGAACACGCACAGGTGGTGCTAGGGGAACACGCACAATTGTAGCTAGGGGAACACAAATAGGTGGGGCTAGAGGAACACACACATATGGTGCTAAGGGAACACGCACAGGTGGTGCTAGGGGAACACGCACAATTGTAGCTAGGGGAACACAAATAGGTGGTGCTAGGGGAACACATATTTGTAACTAGGGGAACACGCACATTTGTAACTAGGGGAACACAAACAGGTGGTGCTAGGGGAACACGCACATTTGTAGTTAGGGGAACACACACAGGTGGTACTAGGGGAACACACAAAGGTGGTGCTAGGGGAACACACAGGTGGTGCTAGGGGAACACACACAGGTGGTGCTAGGGGAACACACACAGGTGGTGCTAGAGGAACACGCACATTTGTAGTTAGGGAAACACGCACATTTGTAACTAGGGGAACACAAACAGGTGGTGCTCGGGGAACACACAGGTGGGGCTAGGGGAACACAAATAGGTGGGGCTAGGGGAACACACAGGTGGTGCTAGGGGAACACACACAGGTGGTGCTAGAGGAACACACACAGGTGGTGCTAGGGGAACACACACAGGTGGTGCTAGAGGAACACGCACATTTGTAGTTAGGGGAACACGCACATTTGTAACTAGGGGAACACAAACAGGTGGTGCTCGGGGAACACACAGGTGGGGCTAGGGGAACACACAGGTGGGGCTAGGGGAACACACACAGGTGGTGCTAGGGGAACACAAATAGGTGGGGCTAGGGGAACACAAATAGGTGGGGCTAGGGGAACACACACAGGTGGAGCTAGGGGAACACAAATAGGTGGGGCTAGGGGAACACACACAGGTGGGGCTAGAGGAACACACACAGGTGGGGCTAGAGGAACACACACAGGTGGTGCTAGAGGAACACACACAGGTGGTGCTAGGGGAACACACACAGGTGGTGCTAGGGGAACACGCACATTTGTAGCTAGGGGAACACACAAAGGTGGTGCTAGGGGAACACACAGGTGGTGCTAGAGGAACACGCACATTTGTAGCTAGGGGAACACGCACATTTGTAACTAGGGGAACACAAATAGGTGAGGCTAGGGGAACACGCACAGGTGGTGCTAGAGGAACACAAATAGGTGGGGCTAGAGGAACACAAATAGGTGGGGCTAGGGGAACACACACAGGTGGTGCTAGAGGAAAACACAGGTGGAGCTAGGGGAACACAAATAGGTGGGGCTAGGGGAACACACAGGTGCTGCTAGGGGAACACACAGTTGATACTAGGGGAACGCACAATTGGGGCTAGAGGAGCACACAGGTGGTGCTAGGGGAACCACATTTGTAGCTTGGGGAACAAACAGGTTGGGCTAGAGGAACACACACAGGTGGGGCTAGGGGAACACACATTAGTAGCTAGGGGAACACACACATTTGTTGCTAGGGAAAAACAACAGCAGAGACGGTACTTTTAAAATATCGATTCCAAGGTCTACTTCAGCATAAACAATAGCTTAAAAACATTAATATGCTTGTCTATTTCAGACTAGACGATACCTTAAAATGTATCGATACTATTTTAACAAATTCCAATTGCCTTACAAAAAGGGAGGTTAGTCATGTGGAACATGTTTACTGACTGGTTATCGGGCCTTTGTATCTCCGAATGAAGTGGCAAGCTCTATCAAAGATCGCGTGAAGAGAAACGCTAGATCAAATTCTCTTAGCTCGATGGTGTCAAATAAAAATATTGCTGACACGCCTGCAGTGACAGAAGAGGTAGGTTCGTCCATCTAGCTATAATGACATTTAAATAGCTTGGTTCGTCCATCTAGCTATAATGACATTTAAATAGCTTGGTTCGTGCATCTAGCTATAGTGACAGCTAGTATAGCTTGGTTCGTTCATCTAGCTATAGTGACAGCTAGTATAGCTTGGTTCGTCCATCTAGCTATAGTGACAGCTAGTAAAGCTTGGTTCGTTCATCTAGCTATAGTGACAGCTAGTATAGCATGGTTCGTCCATCTAGCTATAGTGACAGCTAGTATAGCTTGGTGCGACCATCTAGCTATAGTGACAGCTAGTATAGCTTGGTTCGTCCATCTAGCTATATGACATTTAAATAGCTTGGTTCGTTCATCTAGCTATAGTGACAGCTAGTAAAGCCTGGTTCGTTCATCTAGCTATAGTGACATTTAAATAGCTTGGTTCGTTCATCTAGCTATAGTGACAGCTAGTATAGCTAGGTTCGTCCATCTAGCTATAGTGACATTTAAATAGCTTGGTTCGTTCATCTAGCTATAGTGACAGCTAGTATAGCTTGGTTCGTCCATCTAGCTATAGTGACATTTAAATAGCTTGGTTCGTTCATGTAGCTATAGTGACAGCTAGTATAGCTTGGTTCGTCCATCTAGCTATAGTGACAGCTAGTAAAGCTTGGTTCGTTCACATAGCTATAGTGACAGCTAGTATAGCTTGGTTCGTCCATCTAGCTATAGTGACAGCTAGTATAGCTTGGTTCGTCCAACTAGCTATAGTGACATTTAAATAGCTTCGTTCGTTCATCTAGCTATAGTGACATTTAAATAGCTTGGTTCGTTCATCTAGCTATAGTGACAGCTAGTATAGCTTGGTTCGTTCATCTAGCTATAGTGACAGCTAGTATAGATTGGTTCGTTCATCTAGCTATAGTGACATTTAAATAGCTTGGTTCGTTTATCTAGCTATAGTGACAGCTAGTATAGCTTGGTTCGTGCATCTAGCTATAGTGACAGATAGTAAAGCTTGGTTCGTTCATCTAGCTATAGTGACAGCTAGTATAGCTTGGTTCGTTCATCTAGCTATAGTGACATTTAAATAGCTTGGTTCGTTCATCTAGCTATAGTGACAGCTAGTATAGCTTGGTTCGTTCATCTAGCTATAGTGACATTTAAATAGCTTGGTTCGTTCATCTAGCTATAGTGACAGATAATATAGCTTGGTTCGTTCATCTAGCTATAGTGACATTTAAATAGCTTGGTTCGTTCATCTAGCTATAGTGACATTTAAATAGCTTGGTTCGTTCATCTAGCTATAGTGACAGCTAGTATAGCTTGGTTCGTTCATCTAGCTATAGTGACAGCTAGTATAGCTTGGTTCGTTCATCTAGCTATAGTGACAGCTAGTATAGCTTGGTTCGTCCATCTAGCTATAGTGACATTTAAATAGCTTGGTTCGTTCATCTAGCTATAGTGACAGCTAGTATAGCTTGGTTCGTTCATCTAGCTATAGTGACAGCTAGTATAGATGAGTGGGTTTAAAAAAGGGATATCTTAAATTTAAAACGAAATTAAATACTTCTGTTGGATTAAATTCATGGTCTATAGGCATAGATAGGTTAGCTGTAGATTAAAGCATTTGCGTTGCTTTTTCAACTACGATTCTCTTATATTTCACCAATGGTTTGTATTTCACCAGATGTTTGTATTTCACCAATTGTTTGTATTTCACCAATTGTTTGTATGTAAAAGTAAAAGTGTTTGCCACTGATCAAGTTACTTTCGCGGAAGGCCATGGATTTCGCCAAGACAGGCTTATTTTTTGCTCTTGTAGTCAACATTCAGCCTGTTCGTTCGGTAAGTCATTAAAATTTGTTATGTAAGTCAATCAAGCCCCCCCCCCCCCATCAAGAATATCATTAAACACAAGAAAAATGTAATATAACCCAACACAAAGATAACATAATAAAGCATAACATAACAGAAACATAACAAACGTATAATTAATATAGAAAAGCATTTATAATGGCAAGCTTTTATTTATAACTAGCAGGATATGCGTTGCGCTGCTTGGGTTTCGGGGAATATATAGAGTTTTCAATTAAATGTCAATATGCAAATATGGTCATCAGAGAAAATATATATAACCTAACTTGCCATAATCTCAACCGGTAATGTAAACGTTAATATAAACATAACGCTATTTCTACTCGTAGACTTATAATCATGTTTATCATTCTTATCATGCTTATCATGCTTATCATCCTTCTTATCCGTTACCGTATCCTTATCATCTTTGCCATCTCTATCGCTCTCCGATGAGAAAATAATATTAACTAATTTTTAAATCTAATATATAAAGTTGAATATTTTTTTTTTAGATTTATAACACCTTTAATATTAATTTTAAATATAAAGTTGAATAATCTATGCGACTGCGGACAACGGGCAGCGGACCCGTGATTACAATGGAATAGAGAAAAAAATACTTAAAAAAACTTTTAAAAAAACCACGTTTTTCTTGTGGACTAAAAAGTAGAAAATAACTATTTACATACATTTGATGACAAAAAACGTGGGTACGTTCACCATCAAATTTCCCGACCCATCTGCCCGACCCACGTTTTTTGTCATCAAATGTATGTAAATAGTTATTTTCTACTTTTTAGTCCACAAGAAAAACGTGGTTTTTTTTAAAAGTTTTTTTAAGTATTTTATTTTCTCCTTTTTAGTCCGTTGCTACACATAAAAAACGTGGTTTTTAAAAAAGTTTTTTATATAGTTTATTTTCTACTTCATCTAATGACTTGATTAAGTATGACTTGACTAAGTGTTTATAAATACACGGACTAAAAAAATCTTGAGCGACCAGGATTCGAACCTGGGTTGTCGCGGCCACAACGCGAAGTACTAACTACTATGCGATCACGGCCAGCGCGCTCACATCGATTGGGGCCGAAGTAAATGTGTCGATAGGCCTCCAGTCTTGTCGGTATCTTTAGAAATCATGTCCTCAGTTTTATGGTCCTTCGGGCGTAATTAAATTAAGCTAATTACGGTCTCTAATTGCTAGTTTTTATGATTGCATCTGAAATTGTTAGGCGAAAGTAGCCTGCCTGCCAAATTTCAGAGCTCTAGAGCAATCAGAAGTGGGTTAATTTTCGATGTCAATTTTAACAACAAACATCCAAACAAACGCGAAGCTGAGTTAAGAATAAAATACTTAAAAAAAAACTTTTAAAAAAACCACGTTTTTCTTGTGGACTAAAAAGAAGAAAATAAATTTTTCTTTTGTGCTTCCTCGAGCTGTGCAGGTTCTTGTGATGACTGACAAAAAACGTGGGTACGTTCGCCATCAAATTTCCCGACCCATCTGCCCGACCCACGTTTTTTGTCACTCATCACAAGAACCTGCACAGCTCGAGGAAGCACAAAAGAAAAATTTATTTTCTTCTTTTTAGTCCACAAGAAAAACGTGGTTTTTTTTAAAGTTTTTTTTTAAGTATTTTATTTTCTCCTTTTTAGTCCGTTGCTACACATGAAAAACGTGGTTTTTAAAAAAGTTTTTTATATAGTTTATTTTCTACTTTATCTAATGACTTGATTAAGTATGACTTGACTAAGTGTTTATAAATACACGGACTAAAAATCTTGAGCGACCAGGATTCGAACCTGGGTTGTCGCGGCCACAACGCGAAGTACTAACCACTATACGATCACGGCCAGCGCGCTCACATCGATTGGGGCCGAAGTAACTGCGTCAATAGGCCTCCAGTCTTGTCGGTATCTTTAGAAATCATGTCCTCAATTTTATGGTCCTTGGGGCGTAATTAAATTAAGCTAATTACGGTCTCTAATTGCTAGTTTTTATGATTGCATCTGAAATTGTTAGGCGAAAGTAGCCTGCATGCCGAATTTCAGATCTATAGAGCAATCAGAAGTGGGCTAATTTTCGATGTCAATTTTAACAACAAACATCCAAACAAACAAACAAACGCGAAGCTGAGTTAAGAAAAACGTGTTAAAATCGTTTTAAAAAACAACTTCATCGCCATAGTGTGAGATATCTAAAGTGCTCATCATATAAATTAATGATATAAAAATTAATATATTTCATTTTCCAAAATTTATAATCTTAATTGACAAAAGGTGCATTAAAGAAAATTAAAGAAAATGTCTCACCCTAAACAAAAATTTGAATTGTGTCTGAAAATTATTTACTTTTATTCCTCTAGCACTGATTACGTCCCTTGATAAATTAGGAAAACACAATTACTTCCCTTTAATAAAAACATTACATCTTGGGGGGGGGGGGGTACCTTTTATTACTTTGTTTTGGTGTTGGGTAAAGGTAAAAAATAATTACATAATTAGCGTGGATTGATAAAGTGAATTCTGGTAAGTAAAAAATAAATATTTTAAACACTGCCTTTTATTTATTTTATACACTGAACGTACTGTTTACTATTTTTTTAAAAATTAATTACAATTTAGAAGCCAGTCCATAAGCGTCCTCTATGTTTACTTCTATCTTTCCGTTTGCGGATAAGCTTGGGGTATTATAGTCGTTTACTAAATGAATCAGGTGGTTCCGCCGGCGCCACAGAATGGTGCGATTTAAAGCCCCGGTCTGGACTGTGAGCACTTTGCGTTTATGTTTGCGATTGTGTGTTCTTTGTGTTTGGGTTTGCGTTTGTGGTTGGGTTTAGAATTGTATTTATGTTTGGATTTAGGTTTGTTTTTGTTTGCTTTTTAGTTTGCGTTTGTGTTTGTGTTTTCTTTGGGTTTGTGGTTGGGTTTGTGATTTTGTTTGTGTTTGTATTTGTGTTTGCGTTTGTGCTATGTTTGCGGTTTTTTTTTTTGTGTGTTTTGGTTTTGGTTGGTTGTGGTTAGTGTTAATTCCAAAAGTAATATATTTCCTATACCCGGGCAATGCCGGATATATACTGATTACTAAACACACTAGTCATAGCCATTTACAGATAGGTTTTTCACAGAGGCCAGTGCATGGCCTGGCCGGGACGGCTAGTAAAACGTTAAAAGTAAACTCTGATTTATAATTATAGCACCATTTTAAATTATTTAAGACTCTATTTTTTAAAAACTTCAGCGAAATTTTTATTTCAGAAGGATAAATACTAACATTGTAAAAACAGGGTTTATTTAGTGACTGCTGCACACCTTCTAGCGCTAGAGTTGAAAGTGTAAAGCGAAAATAAACTATCCTAAGCTGCATCGTATATTTATTCGAATAATTAACGTATACTGCGAAAAAAAACTAGTAGTAGTGCCATGAATTGCGTTCTTAATACATTTTTAAAATCTCAAACTTCTTAACAGAGCAGCATGATTAACCAAATCTACATTTAATAATATTGAAACCTAAAAACAACAAATCTCAATTAAAATAATAATTAGTAAGCAATGCAACGTTGTTGGGCTTTTAAACAAAATAAACCGGGAGTGATCTCCCCTAAACTTTCTCGAATATTTTTATATAAAATAACAGGGGATGGGAACTCGGGCTATAGACATGATTTTTAATCCATTTTAAATACTTAAAGTTTTAAAAATAGAATAAAATCTCGCAGACAAAAGAATCGCACACCAAGTGAACACTAAATAAAAAAGTGCATAATAGTGCGCAATATTATCTATCTATATACTACTAAAAGTCAAGTTTGTTTACATGTTTGAATATTTATTTTTTTGTTTGTTTTTTTTTTTTTTTTTTTTGTTTGGCTGATTGACTATTGCGCATGGTTGCACTCATCGTGGAGAGCTGTAAAATAGTATGTAGGTAGAGAAATTTTTTTGTTTTAAGACAGACTGTTAATCACACATTTATTTAAAGACGTTAATTAATTTATTAATTTATTCATACGTAGAGTAACCCTATTTTTTTAAAAAGTTTAGAACGACCACTACACTCGGCGGGGCCGTGACGTAACAGTTTTTTGTTTACTCTTTAGTACAATAAAATGGCGGCGTCTATCGAAGAAAATTGTGTTCCCATTCAAAAGTTTAACGCGTTCTAAATCTAATTTTCTGTCGGTCATAACTTTAACAATACGTCCGTTTGCTGTATTTATTACGTTCCAACACTTATATCAATTTTCAACTGTCTTTTTTCATTTAGTTTTACAATAAATTTCTCTAGATCTAAAGATCAGCTGTCGAAGTAAAGTTATGAATCTAGCCTAGATCTAGCCTAGATCTAGGTCACTAGACTATATGTAAATTCTAGATCTAGACTTAATGTAAATTCTACATCTAGAATCAATTTCAGGCCTTAATACATCTAGAATCTATTTCAGGCCTTAATTATTTTATATAAATCTTTGTTTGGCTAATTTAAGATAAAATTTAATTTGAAAGTTACTACTACTAGACTTAGATCTAGATCTATGCGCGTAAATCAAGTTGCATAAGGAGACTCAAAGTATAGTATAAAAATTCATTTGTGACGTCACGAGTAAATAGCTAAGTTGGTAGTGTAGGCGCTCTCATGCGGGTGGCACAGGTTCTAGACCAATGTGTCAATGATATTTTTTTTGTCAATTTTTTTTAGATGTGAATGATAAAGTTGCCTATCTGAACTTGGCAGGATACAGGGCAGGTGAAGTAGAGTTCATCTGTTTCTTTGTCCTAAGCATATGAAAGGATAGTGTGGTCAGAGACATGCTCGGCTGGAATCGTTTTTTAAACGATAAAAACATGTTGTCTGAGACTTGGCGGGACACTGGGCAGGTGAAGTAGAGTTGAGTAGGTCACATGTGACGTCAGTATATGAAGGGATAGTCCGAAATCGGTGTTTTCGGTGTTTTTAAAAGATAAAAAACATATTTTTGAATGTG